CCACAAAGAGTTTAGGGCCTTTAGGAACTGTAGGGTTCAGAGGACTTCGGGCAGCTCGATCGAGGTTTAGGTCTCCGTCTCAGCCCGGACCCCAAAAGTACTTCCACCCCTGTAAGGCACGACATACAAAAGGCCGCTGGGGAGGATGTGCAAAATTCAAGACAGATGGATCTCCATAACAGAACCGACCTCAACCCCAAGAAACCCCAGCCCTTCAATCCAAACCCCAAACCCCTCAACTTAACCCCAAGATAAACCCCAAGACCCCAGATCCTAACCCTAAACCCTAAACCCTAAACCCTAAACCCTAAACCCTAAACCCTAAACCCGGATCCTAAACCCGACTTTCCCGGCTGCGCGGCCCCTGCGACGCCGACGCAGTGGCCAAGGCCCCAGGCAGCGCCAACGCGCGCCGCTGCGCAGGGCTCCAGAAGCCTCGGAGAGTCATTGGGGGGCTTTAGGGGGGTCTGGGTGGCGCTGAAGGGACTTAAGGGGCTTGAGAAAGGGCTTTTGGGGGCTTTTGGGGGCTTGTTCTGCTGGATTTCACATTATCGCTCATGTTGCATCTGGATGCCGTTGATCAAACTGAAGCTGAAGAACCTTATGCCAAATTTTTGCCAAAGGAGGCGCAGGGCTTCGGGCTTCAGTTGGAGTCTAGGCTCTGGGGTTCACGGAACCTGGTCTTCCTGAAACCTTCCTCGACCCCAAGCAGCTGAACCACGATGCAGCCAACCCTGCATGCTGTGACCGTGAGCACTTAAGTCCTAACGCCGTGGACCCCTAACAGCCCCCAAACCCCTAAAGCCCCATCAACCACAAAACCTGACCCAACGAAGCTCCCAAAAAAAATTGAAAAGCGCAGTCCCGCGGGCGTACTGAAGGCCGCCAGGGTGGCGAGGTGGTCGGGACCGAAGGCGTGCCTTTGAGGAGTTAATGGTTTAGGGTTTAGGGTTTAGGGTTTCGGGTTTAGGGTTTAGGGTTTAGGGTTTAGGGTTTAGGGCTTAGGGTTTAGGGTTTAGGGTTTTGGGCTTCTTGGTGTAGGACCCCAGTTGCAAACGGGGAAGCAAACATCCATCAGTGCTTTTTGGGCCAGGGGGAGGGCGCGGCTACGCTTCCTAAACCCTTTAAGCCGAGGAGGGGGTATGGGCCGACAAGCCCCTTCGCAGGATCCGAAAACTGCCCCTGAAACCTTACTTCCTGAGGCCACCGAGGCCCAAACCCTTGGGTCTCGAGCATCCTCTCGGAAGGTTGCTACAAAACCCTCCTCATGGTACAATTTGAGTTGAGTTCCTGGGGGCAAGAAACCAATCTACCTCGAGAAATGGCCGGCTCGGGTCCCTGGCTCTGACAGGTTTAGGGTTTAGGGTTTAGGGTTTAGGGTTTGGGGTTTAGGGTTTAGGGTTTAGGGTTTAGGGTTTAGGGTTTAGGGTTTAGGGTTTAGGGTTTAGGGTTTAGGGTTTAGGGTTTAGTGCAATGGCCAGGGGCAGGCTTCCGCAGACGATGCCCATCACGCCAGCATGGAAGGTATGCCTGATAGGGTTGGGGGCTGTTTGGATCTTTGGATGTCCATGTTAAGGTTTAGGGTTTAGGGTTTTTTTGGGGGGAGGAGCTTAGGAGCTTGGAGCTGAAGGGGCGTAGAGCACTGAGAGCTCAGTCAACATGCCATCCCAGCCCCACCCGAAGGCCATGAAATCCTGCAACTCTCCATCCCCAAAACCCGGAGCATTGCAGAAACTCAGGGTTTAGGGTTTAGGAGTCTTAGGCCGTCCCCTTCAGTCCGTCTGTGTCATGGCGCAACTCCACGAGCCCACAGCCCCTGAAATGGTAGCCCTGAACATCCCAACTCTTTGGTCTTATGAGTAGTTGGGAGAAGAGCCCTACGTGAGGCTATGACCCGTTATGGCACAAGTTACCCCTAAGTTGCTGCAGGTAAAAGTAAACTCGAAACCCTAAACCCAAGAGAACCCCCAGGCAAGGGGCGTCGAGACCTCCGCGAAAAGCCTTGGCTTCAAGGTTTCTAGAGGCTTTAAGGTTTAGGGTCTAGGGTTCAGGGTTCAGGGTTTAGGGTTTAGGGTTCAGGGTTTAGGGAGGTCCCTTTGGCTTAAGGACCCTGTGTTAGTAGATTCCCATTGCAGTCACGCACAGTACCTAGCAAGGGGATCCTAACTTAGAACAGGATACGGGTTTCGGGCTCAAGGTACCGGGGATCGGAACCTTCGGCGCTTCGAACCCGATTCTTAAATGAATATTCAGGGCTTATGAGCCTTTAGGGCGTCTCGATTGCCAAAAAGCCAATGTTGCAGATCCACCCTCCCACAGAAATCAGAAACCGCACCAGCACCATGGCATTCACGCGGCATCGTCTGGTCACCACCAGGCGAGAGGCCTTCCGCTTCAGCCTCGGCACGGAAATGGTGGCTTGGGATTCCGGGTTTACAGTTCGGGGTTTAGGGTTTAGGGTTTCTGAGGGTTGTGGCGAGGGTCCTAGCGTCTTGCGTGTCCGCTTGCTTCCTGCAAGGCTTCATTGGGGCTTTAGGGTTCAGGCTTTAGGATATTTGGGCTTTGAGGCTTCAGGCTTGCCAACGGAATTGTGCGATCGAATTAATGCAAGAATTCGAAGTATTTAGGTTTATGATTTTCTTGGTGATGCAGCGCATATGTTGCTGATTAACCTCGGCCCCCCCCTGCCCCTGTAATTTTCAATGATGGTGCGAATCTGGATTCTTTTGGAGGGCATCAGAAGTTGGGGCGGCCAAAGCATTATCATTCTAACGGCCCCTAGGTCTCAAACCGAGAACCCTAGCACCCAAACAAAGCAACAAACAACACCTTAGAAACCCCTCAAAACTCTCGTACGCTCTGACCCAGAAACGCCGAATGCCGATGCTTCTTGAAAGCTAAGAACTCTAAGGCCCCAACAACTGCACTCTACCCTTCTTTTACCCGAACCCCAAACAAACATGAGCTCCTGCAAAAACACCGCCAGGCCTGCGACTACCCCGGATGGGCAAAGCGCCAAGCTCACCTGAAGGGGCGAGGGGGGGGGAAGGTTCAGTGCTGCAAAAGTTCAGGAATTGCTTTGGGGGTTTGATTCGGGCTGACATGTTGGATGTAGGGTTTGAATTGTTCATCACAGCTGTGGCATTGTGTACTCCTCAACCCTAAACCCTACTTTTTCAGTACCCATGAACCTCCAAGTTTGGCCTTCGGGTTCATACCCTAAACCCTGAACCCTAAACCCTAAACCCAAACCCTAAACCCTAAACGATGTCACGTTGACGACTCGCGTGGCTGCAAATCCCCCTCCCAATGGCTCGAATCTCAGGGTTTCCACCCAATCAAGACCCTAAAAGGGTTTAGGATTTAGGGTTTGGGGTTCAGGGTTTAGGGTTTAGGGTTTCGGGTTTAAGGTGTAGGGGGTTTAGGGTTTAGGGTAAACCCTTCAACTCAAAAGCCCAAAGCCGAAACCACTGAAATCTCCAGGATTTGAAGGTTTACGGTTTTTGGTTCAGGGTTTAAGGTTTAGGGTCTTGTGTAAACTGAATCCACCACGTCCGAAGCCTTCAAAGTCAGTGCGGTCCAGTCGCGGGTGAAGGAATGCTGGTCTATATGGAAAGCGGCGTGCGCTGCAGCGATAGCAGAAAGTAGAGCTGCCGAGCCGAGCCACGGACAGGTATTCTGCTTTGCTTACTTTTCTTTTAGACATTTATGGGCTTTATGTGTAGAGTTGAAGGCTTTGGTGTTGAGCCCCTTTGCCGATTTAGCATGGAAGCGCGCCAGGCTGCGGCAAAGCTGAGAGCAAGGCTGGCGCTTTGCAAGGGTCCTTGAGAGATAAAATCGTTCAGGCGCCGGGAGCGTGCGCCGACGAAACAAGACTAATAGGGGGAGTGAATAGTGGCGGAGTGGCGAGTGGAGAGCGGTGGAGTGGGGGAGTAGTGGAGTTGGGAGTGGAAGGTGAAAAGTGGCGAAGTGGTGAATGGTTGAGAATGGTCGGGAGGTCAGAAGTAGAGCTCTGGAGTGCACTGCGGAGTGGAGAGTGGAGTGTGGAGTGGAATGCAGTGGAGTGGAGAGCGGAGTAGGACATGGGGTGAATGGAACTGTGGAGAGGACGGAAGTATGCAGGTGGTGCTGGCATACTGAGTTTCTAGCAGGTATTACGCATTGAAAAGAAAAGCGTGCGGTCAAGTAGACCCAAAAAATCACTTCTAAATGTTCAATGCTGAAGCGTGCACGGGCCTCGAAGTCTCCCAGAAAAAAATCAAGTTCAAGGCTAAGGCATGCAGAAGTTTACAGCGCAAAAACTTTTGAACTTTGGAGCGTGCATGCGTGCAACTTTTTGAATGTTTAGGCGTGCACGGGTTCCGAAGTGTTGCATGTGAGCTATTAGTTCCGAGGCGTGGGCGGGTTGCGTAGCCACATAACTTCTGAATGTTAAGGCGTGTAGGATTTACATGATATGTTGAAGAAGACCCCAAAAGCAGACCGCCTGAAGCCATGAGACAGCCTGGGAAGCTAGTCCAGAAGCCTAAATTGCCAACGTTCTGCTGCCTTGGCCGCCAAAGTGTCTCACTTTTAGCTGGGCCCTCCTACTGTGCCTGCCTCGCACGGGGTGTTGAAATATACACCCTTTACATGCATATTCATTCAACTGACTACACAACCAACCATTACACCGTAAAAGAGCAAAGTGGAATTGCAAATAGCCAAGCATCAAAACCCCCCTGCAATCTCTGAAAACACACTTCAAACTTGGAGGAAACGCTATTAAATTGACTCGGAAAAAGCGATCTCACTTCCAAACGCTGATCCGAAAAAGAAGCTGGAGAATGAAGTGAATGAAATCTCCAATTTCGATATTGAGTGGAAGCGTGGGGCTCACTTTTAACCTCTAGGCGATCAGCAACCTGACAGGAGTTGACACCCGCGCTTCAACGTTCCCATTCTGGAGAGGCCTCCGGGCCCAAGTGGCCGCGCCGGCACCCTGTCTAAGCAGTGGAACATCAAATGACGACCTGGGTTCTGCCAGGCTCAGCCGATGTACAGGCCTTATCCAAACACGAAGCTAACTCCTCAAGTGCAGGGGTTGTGCCAGTCTTCGCCTCCTGCTCAAGGCACTGGCTCCCTTGCTGACATGTCTGCATCGAGCCCATGCACTTCCATGCGTCAGCACACGTGGAGTCGGGGCTGCAGGTCTGGTCAATGAAGCCTGGACACGCGGCTGACACATCCGCGCTGTGGATGGGTCGAGAACCCTTCGTGGTTGTTGCGGCTGGAGTCGAAGTTGACGTGGAGCTTCCTGCTGTGCACGCCTTCCCCAGGCAAGCGCCAATCTCTTCCGCCGCAGGCGTCGGAGGCATGATGGAAATGGTCCGTTGGATGCACTCACTGCCATCACTGCATGTCTTCATCGATAAAGACATGCACAGCCAAATTTCTTTGCACACTTTGTCTTCCTTGCATGTGTTGTCCACAAATCCCGGGCAAGACTTTTCCATCTCTTGCTCCGTCATAGGCTGCGAGCTGTGTTTTGTTGCTGTCGTCGTGGTTGATGCCGAAGTCGATGATGTGGTACTTGATTCGCAGGCGTGCGACAAGCAGTCGCCAAGGCTTTCCAGGGCCGGGGTAACTCCAACTTTTGCCACCTCCTGAAGGCAGTCACCACCATCCTGGCACGTGTGCATCTTGCTTTCCATACACACCCACGCCTGATCACACACAGCCGTCTCTTTTTTGCAGGCTGCCACCGCCGCGGGGCAAGCAGCTTCAAGGTCACTCGGGGTCAGTGGTGGCGATGGCGTGGTGGACGTTGAGCTTGTGCTCGTTGTCGAAGACGATGTGCTGGTGCTCGTGGACGACGTTGAACCAGTGGAATCTCCTTCCGTGCCGCATCCCTGCAGGCTCTGGCAGACAAAGCAGAGAGCAGCCACGAGACAAAGCGAGCGCGACTGCACCATGAGTGGGAGAATACCTACGAATCGACTTGGCGGTTTAGTGGCGCAGCCTGTGCTACTTACGCCAGCTCTGAAAGACCAACCTGCGCGATTGGGCCATCCTCCGGGCGGGCCATCCTCCGGTACCCCCCGAGCCCTAGGGTTTGGGGTTGCGGGTTTAGGGTTAGGGTTTAGGGTTTAGGGTTTAGGGTTTAGGGTTTAGGGTTTAGGGTTTAGGGTTTAGGGTTTAGGGTTTAGGGTTTAGGGTTTAGGGTTTAGGGTTTAGGGTTTAGGGTTTAGGGTTTAGGGTTTAGGGTTTAGGGCTAACCCTAAACACAACACCCCAAACTCCTCAGGCTTGAAGCCTCAACCCTATACCTCAAACCTGAGCTGCTCGCCATCCAGGCTTCGACATCGCCCTTTCCAAAGCTTCCGCGGCAGGGAATTTACTTTCAAGAAGGGTGGTACAGGATACTCCACGTGGAACATGCAATCTAACATGAATGTAGAATATATAATATAGAACATAGAATACTGGTGTCAAGGAGATTGAACGTTACATAGTGACGTGTTTTCGTGAATCTATAAGCATCAAAAATGTGGCAAGCAGATATAGGCATATGTGTACCTCGCTGTATCAGCGCAAGCACGGGCTGCACACTGGGCGGACGACATCAAGGTCCAAAATGGATGCATGAATTACGGATGCCCTCGGGCTAGACATCATTAGACATCATTAGAGGATATGGATGCGCTGCGAACACGAAGGTGCGCGGAATGGATGCCATTGAAGTCAATTACTGCCTTGAAATGTTAATATATATATATATATAGCATACATATATATATATGTACACGATGTATAAATACTACTATATATATATACAGATATAGATATATGTGTGCGTGTGTGGGTGTGTGTGTGTGTGTGTGTGTCTCGCTCCCTCTCTCGCTCTCTGTTGGGGCATGGGGCCGTGCAATAGCACGCGCCGGTGTAAATGCAAAGTAAGTACCTGCAAAAAACAATTGCATGTTTTTTAAAAGTGTCCCCTTATCGATGTATCTAGTGTTATCTCTCTCCGTGCTACTACTGAAAAAGTAATACGATACCCATTTTCCTCGAAGACGTGCACGCTTTTTCCTTGGTCGCCATCCCCAAGAAACGTCACACCCGGTGACAAGAGCACCTTGATCGCACAAGTGCTGTTTTGTTGGGAATCGCGTCTTGAAGTACGGCAGTTACCTTCTTGGCTCCTGAAAGTCCCAAGGCGAGGGGAAATGGACACAATTCACCTTGATGTTGCCGAACCTGGGGGCCATGTCCCTTGGCTCACGTGATTTCGCTTGAAATTTACCATATAAGCACCCCTCTCCACCGGTCTCGCAGGTGGACCGCCCAGGAATCTCCAAAATGTTCTGCCAGCATAAGCTCCTCATCCAATACCCGGATTCTCATCGAAGCCATGGCGATGGCCTGGAGCACCACCACCACTGCCCGGGCTAGTGAGCGATTCGAAAGGGGTTCTGCCAACAAGATAAAGACCCCCAGCATATGCGCCATGGCACCAGCATATCCTGGATGAACCAAGTACTGAAAGGGTCCTGCAGTGATGAGACGACTCGGAGGTTCAATTTGGTACTTGAACAAGTCGTCGAGGGTAGATTTGGCCCAATAGCGAAGGGCCCAGCCGGCTGTGGCTACGAAAGTGCCGACACTCGTCCAGATGCTACCTCCACTCTTCCTCCTCGAGGACATCCTTGTTTGATCCACCATGTCCACAGACATGGTGATGCCATACCATAATACCACGGTCGCAATCATTGCTCCCAATGGCTTGGCAGCGGGCGGCAGTCGCCAGATCCCAACAAAGATCGGGTTGGTCCCGATGCGGTCATTGGAAGAACCCGCAGCGTTCGACTTCTTGGTGGAAAGCTCAAAGTCGGCCGGTGGCACAAAAAGATCCAGCATCAGCAACAGCAGAGCCACAAATAGCCATGTTTTGCTGCTGACAAGAAGGCTCACGGAAACGCGAGGCCTCCCTTCCATGGCCATCGTTGGTTGTTGAAACTAAGCCCTAGACCCTAAACCCTAAACCCTAAACCCTAAACCCTAAACCCTAAACCCTAAACCCTAAACCCTAAACCCTAAACCTAAACCCTACTGCAATGCCACGCTGACTATTATTGTCTGGGTTTGTGGGCAGGAACCGTATGCAAACCCACGTACGTGGCGTGCCGGGGACCTGGTAGGTCAGCAACCGGGCTCAAAAGCTTCATAACAATAATACGACTACTATACTTCTTTATGTACTCTATTTTTATTGGATACGCTGAACTTGAGGTTTTTCTAATGCTTTTTCCTGACAGTTTGGACTGCATCCCATGCCCTAAGCGCTGGAACTACCGAGATCGCTCCTTCGGCAGGGAACCCCTGAACCCCAAGAACCCTCGACCCTACAGCCTACACTGCCTACAACCTACTACAACCCTAAACTCTGACATCCTCACCCTGAGCCAAAAATCCCTGAAAAAACATAAGACCAGTAGCAGTCAGACAAACCCAGAAGCCCCGACATCTCAGAACATCAGGAATATTCCTTAACCAAGGGATCTGGAGTGTCTGGGAGCCCAATCAGAAGCCTGGACCCCCTGCAATGACAGGGCCTCACCTAATATTGTTGGCCATGCCGAAATGGATGGAATTGGGTGTAGCAACATGGCAGGCTTTTTATTGGCACTGGATACGCCCAGTGCGAGCCTTGCAACAACATTCGAATCCCGAAATACACGCAACCCTACATCCGAAACCCTATGAACCCAAAACCTTAATTAAATCTTGGCTTCCCTCCTTTTCCTGTATTCTTGAGCTGGTGATAGCGACAGTGTTTTGTTTGTGGTGGTGAGTGCCTTGGTTCTCCCGGGGCTCGGCGGTGACTTTCAGGCATCCAACCGGTCTACGTAAGCACAAATTCGCGATCTACAACAACTGCGACTACATCACAAAGGATGCTCGGGAGAAACGTTCAAAAAGAAGGCAGACACTCACAGGGGGTCTGTACAACGGTCTACAGAAAATTGTCTGGGAACAAAGCCAAGACGCGATGCTCTGGCGGCCAGTCCAATAGCTGGGCGCGAGTGAGACACGCATCTCAAGTATGTTTGAGGATTTGTACCACACTGTCAGACTCTCCACAACAGCGTCATCACGCGACACATACAGTTTAGGGTTTCGGTATAGGGTTCTGGGCTTAGCAATCACTTAGAGTTGCAGCGAAAACTTCGGGTCAAACAGAGCGCCAGGAGTAGCCATGCCAATGTCAAACAGGGCCAAAGGTCTACATAGCCTGCTTGTTGCAGCAACGAATATGGCATCCTGCTAACCAACCAAATGACTCCAAAGGCCGCAAAGCTTGCACAAGAAACCAACAAGGCTGCTTTGAGTTGCGTCATCTTCGCCATAAGCGGCAGGCCAAGCTTGCAGAGAATCACCAGGGCGTAGGGAAACAAGAAGACCGCAAAGAATCGTGCCCATTCACGCGTCACCACGGCCAGACACCTCCAGGCAACGGAGAATGGGCCAAGCTCTTCCTGGAAAAGGCAAAATGCCTTTGCCCAAGCTAGAGAGTCGCAAAACCAGGGTGCACAAGCAGCAATGGTCATACACGCTACGACACGGAGTTGAAATATCACCGAATCCGCGCCTTCTAAAACTTTCTGTCTGAGGCTGGTTTGCACGATCGAGTTGAACCGTTTGAGATGCTCCTCAGCGGTGTCACCAGCTTCGCCATACCACTCTTGCAACGTGTGGAAAACCAAACGCCGGTCACAACGCAATTTCTGGCCAGTGTCTGGATGCTTATGATCGTTGGAACAGCAAAAACACTCAGAGCTCTTGACATCGAACTGCTTTAGCTGAGGCTCCAGGTCGCGAATGTCTCTCAAGGTCCCCAAAGCAGAGTAGCATCCAACCGGAATGGCCGCAACAAAAAGCATTGCAAAGCCAACCAAACTTATCACGAAGAGTGTCATGGCATTCTGGGCCTGCAGAGCCCCAGTCTGCAAAGCCCAGGCAAGGACATTGTTTTGAATTACCCCAAGAAACTGACAAAAGCTGTTGACCATCAGCATCACTGATAAGGCGACTGGGCGCAGCGTCAATCCCTTCGCCTGCTGTCTGTGTCGGAAAAATGTAGCGACCTCATAGCAACACCAAAGACGAGTAAAGTAGCGCGCCGTGTGTGTGTGTGTGTGTGTGCTTTGTCTGCAGTAGCCTTGGCCCAGAGGGTGGCTTGCTGCAGGGTTCGGGCCGCTGTTACGGCACAGCTGTTGCTACTGCTGCTGCAAGGCAAAGTGAGCAACTCGGTTTGCAAAGAGCTGCAAGGCCCAGGAAGGGCCGGCACAGGCGGGGCGGAGCGAAAACTCGGGCGTCTTAAACACGGGATCCAAAAGACGGGCTCGGGTTGAAACCGAGCGGAGAAAGCATTTGCAGACACATGAGGCAACTGCTAAGCAGGGCCTGGCAAGTTGTTACTGTGCGGCGTTGCTTCCGCTGCGGCGAGGCAAGACGTGAGCAACACGGATTGCGAAAAGCTGCAAGGGCCAAGGCATGGCCGGCGCAGGCAAAAGAACACAGAGGCACCTTAAACACGGGCACCGAGAGAGGGCACGGGTCGAACCAAAAGGGGAAGGCGACAACGGGCTTCCAGGAACATCGGGGCATCTGCTACGCAGAGCCTGGACATGCACAGTTAAACACGGGGACTTTAACGAGGATTAGGGCCTGCATCGGGAGGGAGATGCAGTGAGGAACGCGCGTGACTCTCCAACCAGCGCAAGGCAAAGCGCTGCCTCAAGAGAGCGGCTTGAGACCAAGCAGCCGCCTGATCCTGATCGTGTTTCCATGACGTCAGCGAAGTGAGGGCCTCTGACGCCGTGTTCTGCGCCGACCTATCCGCCACATCATTGAGCTGGCGACACCTTGACGCATCGAGGCTGTGCGGGGGCAACCACTGCAGATGCTTGCC